GGTAGTTGAATGTGTGGAGTAAGATGGGGTAGGGTAATGATGACGATTGTTCTTTTTTAATATTTGAGTTAAAAATGAGTAAAATGGGATATGGACTTCGAAATAATTGGGTATACTCAAGGAATGAGACAGCTGATTCTATCCGGCCGTAGGATCGACCGTATTGAATCCGGCTCGATCCGGCCGTTCGTGGATCGTGATAAAAGCCGATCCGGCCGATGTTTAATTGAGACCAATGACCAGCGCACTTGCCCCTTTCGTGTGGAAGCTCTTTTTACTTTCTTTTTATACTGTGGAAAACAGACTGGCGATAGATTTCCGATCGTGATTAGACCAAGCCAGGCCACTAATCGAGACTGAACTAGGTAGAAACTGTAGCAACGAGCCACCTGTTCCTTCAAAATCCTCGGAGGGAGGATATACACTAAGGGTAGGTTTATATTAAGCGACAGTACAATTATTAAATCGAGAAGGAATGACTGACTAGCCCTGTTATCATAGATCAATATCGATTTGAAATCTTTTCCAGACCTGAGAAATCCAAGAGCTCAGACTAGGATTGGACTATCCTAAATCCTCAGAGATCCTGAATATCCTAAATCAAAGCAGTTTAACCGTAACGTAGTTTCACGTCGTATCGGTTAGCAGCCATTAATTAAACGCTGTTCCGTACCACCCTTGGAGTATATCAGATTGGTCGATACTTAACAAAGTCCTAATTTCACAGATATTATTATCAACCAAGTTGGATGTATTTTTTGGTGCAAAAAGAATTAGACCCGTAAAGACTTCCAGTCATTGAACTATACCCAGTGAGTTCGTTATCTGGAAAAATCAGACGACACTGAACGGTGGCCGAAATCTTTTTTGGCGAATCACCTTGGACCACCTTGGTACGAGCAATCGGCAGGCAAGTTGGGAATTTCTACCGCTATTATAAGACACCCCCACCCTGCTGCTCGGTTGCCGCTTACGGGTTTCCACGTGCGATGGAGACAGAGTGTGTGTTCGGCATGCCCTCCTCGGTATTAGCGTTGGGAATGCATTAGAGGTGGAGGTGCTGGGTGGAGGAGGTGGCAACGTGGCCACCATGTGTGGGGCAAAAGCAAAGCTAAAGTTCTTTCTTAGTTCTTGCCGAGTATCTGCGGTTGGTACCGTCAGTACGCCGCACATAGGAGATGAGGGGCCCCTGTACGGCGCTAACTAATGTTTGATCACCACGAGATTGCACCATCAATATATCTCTGTAAATTGATCGTTTACAATTTTTATCACTGTTCCTATTTTAGTTTTACTTGTAATCTGGAAAAATTTTAATTATACAAATTTCCTATATTCATAGACGTTTTGGTAAAGCGAACAAATCGTTGATGACTTTGACAAAGCGCAATTATATCAATCGTACAGGAGGTTAATGATTTCGATAATTTTCTTTTAGTGACGTTGAATAATCTCGTGACGAGCAGACTTTAGGCGTACGTGTACTCCAGGACTAGGGAGTGGTAGCGTCCTGGGAGAGCTGATGAATTGCACGCAAGCTGTACGAGGCTCGCAATGATGATGATCAAACGAATGTATCATTAAAGGTATCGAAAAGTATAGTGTGTACGTATATAAGCATGCTTTCATTGTCTGTTACTAAATGGACTTTACGATTTTCACGGGATCCCGCATCCTCTCGGATTATTGGATTAGTCACTAAATGCCTTCAGTGGTTCTATTGAGTGGCTGAGTTTCTTCCGGAAATTTTATATTGACTGAACGAACCTCATTCCCGTCTTTTTATTTAATTCTTTTTTCATTAAAACAAAAACATTAATTTCCAATCATAGAAATATTCGCTGTTGATATTACATCAGCGATTCCTGCCTTAAGTATCAAACACAACAAAAAAGCCCTTGTGGAGCCAGTTAAGAAATTATTACGTCACGTAGATTAAAGCGTCGCGTTACCTTTGATTTTCTCGCATACACAATTCCATGGTTAACCATACGCAGCGCCGACATAACCATCACGCGGCCTGAATAAAGACAATTTTCGCATTACCTACACAAGACTTTGAGATAATCAAATCAGCGAGCTGGCAAGAACAAAGAAAAGCCTCAGAGGAAATTTCAAGTTCCAGTAACGTCGCTGCATATTGCAGCACCCTTCTATATTAGTGTACGTAATAAATGTGACACATAAATTGTATCCGTTATTCGAAATAGAAATGTTGTGTCACTGGCAGTAGGTTGAGAATCACTAGAGAGCTAGGAGAGAACCGTCGGGCAAAGGTATAGCACGATGAGATGGCTGGATGGTGGAGATGGCAGAGGTACAGGGCCATGAAGGAGGTGATGCCGCTGCCGGAGGATGAGAAGGAGTCGAGATGGGGAATGGAAGAGCCCTGAGGAGTTGTAGGAGCCAGAGTAGCAGAAGTAGGTAGAGAGCGAGGAGCGCCGGGACGAAGGGGCGTGAGGGGGCAAAGGGAGAACCCCCGTAGCGGCCACACTGGACTTGGGGTTTTTTTGTGAGGGAGTGCGGAGGAAAGGGGCTGCTCTTTGGGACGAGAAACATAGGCAGAGGGATGTGAGAGAGGACTGGGGAATAACGGGGAGGAGAGGGTGAAGCAGCGTTGGGGGAGATCCATAGGGGTGCCAGCAAAGGGTAGGGAACCACCGCCCAAGGCTTCAGAAACCAGGGGTGTCTAATGCCGTGTGGACTTTGTTCGCTCGCGAGATGACACACACCCTGTATGTACTATACCTATATACCTATTTCTATTCCGTAGTATATATAGAAACGTCATAGCAGATATACATTGTCTGCCCCTTATCAGGTGTATATGCACATATCAATGAGGATGGTCGTATTTGGAGTTCACGGAATGTCTGCATATTCAAGCCCTACTCGATAAATATGTCAATTTAATTTTTAAATACAGTCATTGTCAACCATGCTGCGAGAATCGAAGTGTGATAGGGCACAGTATACGTATAATAACGATTAGACGTGACTATGGGAAATCTTAGTGAAATTGTAATTTCCATGAATCACCACGCAGCAGGAAGTTCGATGCTTCTTTGCGTCGTCGCCCGAAGTTTTCCCCTTTAGAGCAAACTGTTGCTTAGATCGTTATCGCTGGCAGTCAGGCGATAGGGGTGAGTCGCGCCCCAATTGGGGTGAAGGAATTAGAAATAATTCCCAGTGCCGAAGCAGGGGTTGCGACGGTTGGTTCTTTATTTATTGGATCTCTTCATTTCTGCGTAAACTTATCGATGTCTTTTGTCTCTTTATATTTTATGATCGACGCGCGCACCTCTCCGTCATGAAGATACTGCCTTGAGTACGTTAAGTACCGTTTCCATGCGAACGACTAATGCGAGCAGACTTTTTGCAAGAATGCACGCGGACAACGTGTTACCGTTATTATTGTCATTCAACTATGCTACGGCCTTGACCGTAAAGGCGAATTTACAAGCGTTATCGCCGAGCCAAGCGCATTCAGTCTCGTCCGATGAGAATGCGATCTAGCACGGTAATGAATTCACATTGTGTTTTGATGGCATCATTGTTTCATGAAAAATGGAGAGGAACGTATAAGATAATCTTTGTGCTTCGTCTCTTTTATAAAAGTAAATGCATCTTGGTCGTCAAAATCATGTAAATATCTGTCGTTAATTGGCCTGCTAATGGGCCAGATATCGATAATGAATTCAGCACGAGATAACAATTTAGATAGACATGTAATTTCTTAATTGGCGTGAAACCGTAGAGTTTCGAATTAAATAAAAGTGTTTACTGCCATGATATATACTTGGAACTTGAGATGACTCGAGTGTAGATCAATGTAGGTGGGGTACTAGAAACCCATTGCGTGTACAACAGTACGGTAGCCACCAGATCGAATATCGATGGAAGTAATTAAAGAGTTAAAGGGATGTAGGTTTGACGGAATGGCTGAATGGTATTGGCCGATGCTGAACCTGATGAGTTTCAAAAATATACAGTAAAACCCTCATACACGTATACCATTTGATAACAGCAACTCTTGCTCACGTGATATTACCAACTATAAAAAAAAAAAGAGAAAAACTCTCAAAACAATAACAGTTAACCAGATCTACTAAAAGTTCGAGTTTAATAAAAAAAAGTGAAAAATGTATATTATCGAATCCAAGATTTGCTTGGGTCAGCATGAGACACATCAAGCAGTATCAATCTCCACGTGTAACCTCATCCACGCGCATAGGCGCTATCGGGTTGCGTAACACGCTATGTTCTGTAACATTCCCAACCCTCTCAGCCTTCACCTTACTTACGTAGTCACAGTACCGAGTGTAACTAGCCAACCAGCCAGCCAGCCAGCTAGTTAGGTATGTACCTACCTCGGTGTGGCATGGGTGCGCGTAGCGCAAGTTGGAACACGTCGTAGGAGAGACTATGTTCATATAGTACTATAGCATATATACCCTCCTAAGCAAGCCTAACTCTACACACCCGTGGAAGCCCCTTCAGCCGATGAGTACTGGCGCCCCTTGGCCCCTCACGGTTCCACAGGCCTCCTCCTGTATATCCCCTTTGCCGACCACGACCTCTGACACCCTCCATCCCCCTACGCCCAACTCCGTAACGCTGTCTCCTACAGCACCTCCTCTTCGGCCCCCTTGGGTTCCCCCTGCACCAAACGGCCCTCCACCTCCTCCCAATCCTTCTGCCCATCCCAGACATTCATTTTGTCTCTCTCTCTCTCTCTCTCTCTCTCTCTCTCTCTCTCTCTCTCTTGCGGCCGGTTCATTGCTACCAACCATCCTATCCGCCCTCGCTGAACCAACCCAAAGGTCCCTCGGTGTTCTGACGGTGACAGACCCTACCTTACCGCCGCCGCCGACGACGCCGACGTCGAGGGGTACGGGGGCTCCGGGAAACGTGGGGAACTTGGTGGGACAGAGCACGGCCCTGAGGGGTCTGGGAGGCGGACTGGCGTTGAGGGGTGGGGACTCGTCGCCGCGACGCCAGTCTCCAGTTTGCCGTGAGCGCTCGTCACGCGAGGATATTCTGTGATCTTGCTGTCGAGCGACAACGCTACTTTATAACGCTGGTTGTATACTTCTCCTTGGCTGTTGTCACATGGCCACGTCGTGCGTTAATACGGCAACGAGTTACGATTCATCGGGAATTACTACTCCGCAACGTGAGATCTGTTTGTTGGTTGGAGGAAGAATTTGCGAACTGTCTGATCTACGTAGGATAGTTACTAATGAATTATAGGTAAACATAGTGGGACGATAAAGGTCAGAGGAATACTCGAGGACTGAGGTTCTTACTGGCAATTAATTGTACGTCGTGTATGGAAAGGACATCTGTTTTTCAAGGATTCTATAGATATCCTGAAAATTCAGTGGAAAACTTTGAAAACGTGAATTGTTAGTGTGGCCAGTGACGGGTGAATTTTCCTTTGGAAAATTAACGTTTCTTATCTCTTTAAGGAGGAGTTCGCATGTGAGATAAACTAACAGAGGAGTGAAAGGTTGTGATAGTTGAATACAGGTATTCATAATAAGGTGAACTCATGTGTCAGAGATAAGAGGTCAATCAACGATGCCTGGACAAATCGAGCCATCGTCTATCCAGTGACTTGATCAATTTTGTAAATTAATATTGTACAAAAAGAACTGATCGTCAAGTTATACCTTTATCGAGTAAAGGTTGACATTCTCGTGAATCGTGAAAGTTTGAGCGCGAGTTTTGTCGTCTCTCTCTCTATCCTTGAAAAGAAGACAGCACCTTGCTCGAGAGAAGGACGGAAATAAAGAAGGACAGAAAGAAAATTTTCAAACTTTTCACAAGACTTTCCGATTTCAAAGTTTACATCCGCCAACGGCAACCGAACTGAACGTCGTCGCGGGTGCGCCATGTGTTAAGGTCCATTTGTTTTGTTCTACTTTGCTGTAGCCCCTGACGCGCACGGCAGTGTGATTGGCTGCGGGTACTTCCCGAGCCTCCGAGATTTTCCTTCTGCATCGAACATGTCTGCAAAGCGAAAGGCCACTGCCATCATGCAGCACCACAAGGTGAGTCCTCACATGTAACGTCATGCATATATATGTGTATATACACGTATATAGTATGCATTTATTGTCCCATCTTCTCTTGTTCCACGTGACTTGCAATCACGGCGCTCAATTTAAATTCTCAGTGCTCAAAGTCCTCCTAAAAATTGTAATTCCAATTCACTATACCCGTAGCATAGGATGGTATCCGAGAACAAAAAAGTGATGACAGATAGAAGGGAGGGAATAAGGAAAAGAAGATAATGTTAAGCAACTGAAAAAGGAAGCTAGAAATTATGAGGAAAGGAAGGACAACGTTAAGGAGCGGTTAACTCAAAGCGGTGGGGCATGTCGGGAATCAACAGAGAAGAGGATTGGGAGGGTAGGGATATTCAGCTGAGTGCCTAGGATGACTGTGCCGGGGATACGGAGGGGTGAGAGGTGACTGAGAGAGACGGCCAGGAAAAAAACGAAACGAGTAAGCGAGAAAAACAGACGGCAAAGTAGTCGTCTTTGCTACGGGCAACGAGTTTCGCGGCCGACTGTACGCGTCCCGCTTTTACGAGCTACCAGGTCGAATATTAAAAGGGACTCGCATCAGGATTCTCACCCCTTTCGTTATGCATCTTTTTCTGGTTATACCTAGTCCTGCGTGGCCTGACGTAAGGGCTGTACCTAATGCGCTAGGGTCCGTGGCGGCACCCGGACTCTAGCAGTACGTAACGCCGGAGAAGAACGCCGGCGAAAGTCTCGATTCCGCGACGTCGCAGTGGATACAACGACGCGGTGGAGGAGGCGTCGCGACACCGAAAGCCGACCGAGCGACCGAGTATCGCTTAATTGGGAACGACTGCGGAACGCTATGAGAAAAGAGGCTGGCAGAGAGAGAGATGGGCAATGAGAAAGATAAAAAGAAAAGAATGATTATCGCAGCTGTGGTGAAAGAATGGCACGTCTTCGGGATACGTTGTTTCGTCATAATTGGATGAGGGCAATTTTTGGACGTACAATGAACCGGCGTGTAAAAATTTGTACGTGGAGTGTACACGTAGTAGGTATATTTTGTTTGTCATTTTTTTTTTCCACCGTTTTTATTACTGAATGCACTGAGATCCCTCTCTGCTCCAGTTTCGTAAGCTCTTTAAATTTTTTCTGAATGGATTTTACGCTCTGCACCATTGACCCAAGTTAGGTTGGATGTCAGGGGTGCCATTGAGATTGCAGGTGAATTTTTACCTGGCGAATCGTAATCCTATGGTATTGTCTGAAGAAGGTCGAGTTGTAATGTGGTGGGAGGAATGCTCATTCAGTGGGAGAATTTCTTCTTTATCATCGTTCCTTTCGAGGACAGAGACAATGAGAGGCGAGAACCGATGGTCTCGAAAGAAAAATATCAACGGAAAAGTGAAAACCGATAGATTAACTGCGGTATTTACGAACGATTGATTTGACGACAATACCCGACAGATTGGGTGTTTATATATATATATATATATATATATATATATATATATATATATATAGCGCGTATCAGATAAGTCTGGATTTTTTATTTCCGCCTCGTTTCACTCGATCAGGTTCACAGCCCAATGAGAATCCTCTCGTGGAGAATGGGTCGTTTAAGTATGTGCTTTCTAATCAGCTGTGGTCGATATATAATGCCCGGAATACACTGTCAGATGCGAATTAATTCAGATGAATATTTTACATACGTAATGTCGTATATGAGAAATTACATTATTAAAAAAAAAGATAAAAAGTGAATATAGACTAATAGACGTCGGTTCTTTATTAATTTTTTAATCATTTTTTATATATATTTTTTCTATAATTTTTCTGAAAAAAATTGGTTCAATCCAATGAAATATAGGTGCCTAAGGGACAAGAAAAGTTCATCGACCTTCTTCGTCTATTTGTCAAATTTACAAAATCACTCATAATCTCCACTGAATTGCTCGGAAGAACGATAGAGAAGGAGAGAGAAACCGGAAACGCGTGTCAAATATAAATAGAATCACCAGGACTTTCCGTCTAGTTTGGCTAACGGGCAAGCACTGGGAGATCGATGAAATCAGATTCGAACCGCGAAAGTTGAGTTAGAGTTGAGGTAGGTTCGGGAATGTATGTCTCCCTCCTATCCAGTTACCCCCACCAGTATACTCGTGCGCACTTCACCTCGCAATGTCTTTCTCTTTCGTACTTCCGGCCGCCATAGCGCCTCCTTTGTCGCACTCGCTCCCGCACTTGCGGTCCAACAGGTTATATTTTTCCAGAGGCTTGGCATCTTCCTTCCACTTTACATTCTCCAATCTACTCGTCCTTGTCACACCCGTTGCCTTATCCCTTACCTTCTCTCGCACCCGCCAGATGATCGCAGACTCTTCTGCTTCATCCCTTTCTACGTCTCTGTTTTGCATGGTATACACAATATATATTAGTATATATTATATATCTCCTGTATATCTCAAGCTCCCATTCTAGATATTCCAGACCATCCCTCCCCCGCACTCCCCTCTCTCACTCTTTTTCATTGTACCCCACTCTCTGTCCGATCGTGTGCGTCCACCGTGGCTGTTTCTGAATTTAAACTTTTTTATCTTTGAACCACGTGAATAAAATGATGGGAGCGCAGACGTTTGCCGAGTGAGACATCTTTGACTTTTAACTGGAAAGACTATACTGGCTCGGGATAACCTTGTTACGTTATGTCAGGTTATGCTTTGTATATTGCCGAAGCGTTTCCATAGCATGGATATTCGTATACTCTGGTAGCGCGATATGTTATCTGAACGGACACGCATGTGGCGACGGCGATGTTCTTTACGATCTGCCGGATTGTGAATCATTCAGTAGGAAGATGTCGCTCGGGAAGTTTTCGGCAAATCACTCGGTAGTTTTCCCCTGCTGTTATCATCTCGTGTCAAACACTAGGCGCGCGTTTTGTCAGTCGTTCTCGTCGGGTGCGCCAAGTCAGCGGAGAAATAATAAAGCCAGGGGCGGCGGGCCAGTTCGCCCCTGGCGGATAACGAGCAGCCCCTCTTCTGTTAGATTGCGAACGTCCCTTCACGGAATTGCCTCCTTTTTTTTCTCCACCCCTGTAGAAGAGTTGCCGACACACAGCCAGTATCGAAGCCCTACGGGAAGGACCTACGGGAAGGAAGGGCGAAAGAGCGAGAGGACGATAGAGGGGGAGGAAACGTCGCAATGAAGGAGAGACATGTGGGTAGCAAGGGATGGCGACGCACCCCTCATATTCCCACCGAACTAAGGGCCAGTATGGATTTCCCATAAGATCAGGTATGTCTCTGCCTGGAACCGACAAATGGGGTGCGCTCGTGTGCCAGCGGGCAAACTACCCCATCTCACCCCATTGGCAACGACAGAGACCGTGCACTTATGTATATATGGGTCCGTACCGAAAATATACCCTCCACGATGTTTCCACGTTGTCCGATGTTGCCGGTAAGGGTGTGTCCGGCTACCGGGCAATCTAGTCATCGTTCCCTTTTTATCCCTGAGGCTCCGCTACGGCATACCGGGTGTCTCCAAATTATTCCTCCCTTCCAAGTATAGCTCTAGGCGGCACCGGTCCTCGTGAAAACTAGGGTGCTTTCACGAACTGCTTGGACAGTACATATACCTAGTGCTTTGGGTGGGTCTTCTTCCTTGGTGTTTGTTTGCCGGAGCAGGGAAGGAGCTCGAGTCTACTCAGGTCGAGGGAAACAGCACGGTCTGTCTCCCAATGTATACCGGGTGTGCTCCGTAAAAATGAGGACGTGGACGAGTATGGGCTTATCGACTGGTCGGATGGGCGACAACGGTACAGACCGCTTCAGAATTTTACGTGGTAGGCGTGTTGTAGATAGCGGGCTGATGTTTGCGCTGGCCGTTGGGTGATTCAGGGAGCCATCCGTGTCAAGGTACACCGCATCGACGTCCACATGCAACGTCCTGTAGAGTTTTTTGCAACAATCACGCCTCTACGGACAGACGGACGGATGGAATGGCTGACTGGTTGACTAACTGGCCGAGCCATTTGCCTGCGCTGCTTACTCGAAGTCGAATCGCTGAAAAGTAGCGAAGTAAAAAGGACAAGAGCTTTGAGTCAGCGGAATGTAGGCAACAGGGTGTTTCGAAAACGTATCGATTCGTAGGTACGTTCCGTTAGCGTTGGCACTTACGTGATTGTTTTTTATGTTGATAATGGAACACCCTGTATGTTCTATTGAGTGCCTCGGTAATGTTCTAAATGGACAGTTTTGGCTATTGAATGTTTATAGAAAATTTACAAATCCTTCGGTATGGCGTGTGTGATTGACGATGGTCAAACCCAACTAATCACAGGGTCTGAGTCAGTAAGAACGAAGGTCAGTTCATTGTGTACTGAAAGTACTACCTGAATCTACTTGAACGGTACTGGGGTTTAGATCTAGTGGGACCTGGAGTGGACTCTGGTGGAAAAGCATTTTATCATTTTGAGAAGGACTGAGATGTGTTTGTCCTCAATTGAGTCAACATTGGGTATATTTCCCTTTGAAAAATAAACGCATCGGATAATACCTACGCGGATGATGACAGTGAAGACGCGTTTGTGAAATATTGTCGTACGAGGTCATCAGGTATCCTGGGTCGAGTTCATCGTCTGATAGTACGTAGACCGAGACGGGTTCCTTTATTCCTGCCATTTCTTACAACATCCAACTACCTGACTCTCTGTCATCTCTTGCCTGTGAAAACTTTCCATCTTTCGTTCTGAAAATACAATTCTCCTTGACTGGCCTTTTGGTGTTGGAAATTTTTGGATATTTTTAACAAAGCGATTTTCAATATCCCGGAAATACGATATTTGGACCTGCTTTTTATTAGATTTAATTATTATTTTATTTTTTAGTACTTTATTTTCACTATAAACTGACCCCATTATGCCATGAATGAATATTTTTATTTAACGATAATGATGAATGACCAGTAAGGACATCATTCGTTATGGTATTGATCTTGATCGGTGACGTCCGCTGAAA